AAAGGGCTTAGAAAGCATAAGTTCATTTTTCTAAGGGACATGGAGAGTAAGATAAAAGACTCATTTGGAGAAAGGCTGATAATGTGCTAGAAGGAAAAAAATATTTGCAGCAGAATAAGGAATTGAGGTATGAAGTTTTGATTGATGGACAAAAGGAACAAAAATTGCCCTAGAGGAGGATGCGTAATTAAGGAGAAATTGACCGAAAGAGTGGAGTACAACAGGAAAACTTTGAGGACAGGCAAAGTGCAAAGGGTCTCTTGGAACCCAAACAGACATTTGGGAAAAAAAAAAGATAGGCCTGCAAAATCACAGGAACTGAACAGAGTGAGAAGACTGTTAGCAGAAAATGATGGAGCTGGTTTCAGAAGCAGCTGGAATGATGGCATGCAGAAGTTAGAAATTAATTGGAAGAAAGTAGAAAAGGTACAGGCTGAGGCAATTGCTAGAAAATAGGAAAGAAATGGAGAAGACAAACAAAATAGCAGCCTGAGAGAGAGAAAATTTGGTTAAGCTTCTTGTTTTTATCAGGATAACTTTGGGAGAAAAGCACAAAACAATTTGGGAGTGATTTGGGAAAAGGAAGACATGACATGACAAGGGACCATGGAAAGAATGGTCAATGGGGAAGACAGTGCAGAAGCAGAACATTTTTAGAGGAGTTTAGATAATGCGTAAAGGGAGTGGTGTTTAAATGGAATGAAGATGAATGTACAGGACTTGGGAAAGAAACTACTGGGAGACAGAAAATTGGGAATGTGGGATTTACAGAGGAAAAGAAAAATTAATAAAGTAGGCAGACAAATACATGGTAAGTAACCAGATCGGGAAGAAAAAGTTAATGGAAATAAGAAAGTAAGAGCGGCAGTAAATGTCATTGTTCTAGTGCTTAGTAAGAGGTCTGGTAACAAAACAGTATATAAAAGTCAAACATTATCTTTGTATGGTACCTTTTTGTGTGGGATGAGGGGGTCTTGGGAAACCGGATTGGGAGCTAGGCATAGGCATCTAGTGAACCTACAATATGTATGGAGAAGAGGATAATCAGCTTTATTATTATTTTAAACAGAAGCAAGAAAGAAAACATTTAAAACCAGTGTCTACACCAGTTCCTAATAGCTTAGTATCTGTTTGTATCTGTTAAAAAATATGAGACCCATAATTGGGTTATTTATTATGATTATTTGTTAGCATTTTATGGATATTCCAGCAAACTGTTATCTACCCAGTATTTAAAAAAACCCAACCCCAACCCTAAAATATCCTGTATTGCTTCTTTTGATAGTCAAATTTCTTTTTATTACCTCTCCCATTTTACAAAAGACTTTGCATGAACTAAAAGTTAATCTGAATGAGTGCTACATGATGAAAAATAGAACAGAACGTACCCCCCTTATTGACAAATGCAATTACCTTTTACGCTTAAATTAGTCCTATTCCTTACTCACAAAAGTGATAGTTAAAAATATCATCATTAAATATAACTTCAAGTGGACAAGTATCCTTTTATTTATAACATATAGTAGATAAAATCTTTATTTTTAGTTATGATTTCCTTGAGTAATATTTTCTTAAATGCTGAAATTACACTTGGTATTTCAATTATTTCACTTCCCACAGAACACTGCAGCTTTCCTACTTTTGTTTGATTAGTTATAGAACTGCATAGCATGCTTAATACAGTAAGTTGAAAAAAAATTAATGATTGTGGATAAGGAGACTATTAACCCAGACATGCTTTGATACCAAGATAAAGATATATTTTTGAGAGGAATAAGAAAGGCATAAGTATTTCCCTAGTAAGTATTTTTTCCCAGAACCTGAAACATGAAAGAGACAGTATTATATTCTTTATTATGGAATATATTGTATATTCTATATAATAATTCTTCTATACTGCATTCCAGAGTACACAAAATATCATTTACAGATAAAATGTAAGGACATAATTGAAATTTTGCAGAATTGGAAAGACATGGTCTTTGTTGCCCTGATGAAAATTCAAAGTAGCGTTGGAAAAATCCCAGTTTCACCCATTGGAAAGCTTTTGTAGAGTTTTGCAGCTAAATTCTCCAAGGAGCCCATCTGTACTGAGCATGCTTTATCCCGGTGCTGCAGGAATGAAGCAGTTCTTTCCCTGCAACTCTCTCTCCTCATTCCTGCAAAGAGCTACTGTGCTAAATATTGAGAAGAACAGAGAAATTGTCTTTGCTTTTCTCTCAGTGCTTTGCTCCCTGATATCCAGACAGATGCAAGAAGAAGAAACAGAATGTGTACTGAAAGCAGTAGGGAACGTGAGCTTGATGGGGAGGCGAGGGGAAGCAGAGAATACAGACGGAGATGTGGTGCAAAACAGGAAAGGCTGGTAACGGGGAATGTCAATGCAGCATGGACTCTCAGAATGGCTGGACAAGAGGAGGAGGCAACAGGAAGGGTCAGAGACAGGGGGTCACTGAGAAGAGAAAGAGCTTGTAATTAAAGAAATAATCAGACTGGCATGAAACTGAGTTCAGAAGAGAAAGCTGGAAGAATGTGAAGTTAGGAAAAAAAGAAACACAATGTAATGTAGAGCCAGGAAAGAGTGAGATTAGCCATTGACAAAAGCTGGAATTGGAGTGAAGAGGAAGAAACTAGGAGGAACTGGGACACAGAGATACGGGAGTAACAGGGGTAAGTGCTAAAGGGGACACAGACAAAAGGGAGTTTACGGTGAAAGGGAATCCTCCTTCCAGTATTGGAAGTGAACACAAAGAGTCCTGACACTTAGCATTAACTCGTCTGCCATTAACTATTTCTTGAACTATTTCTGAAACCGGTCAGCCTCAAATGGCTGATTCACAACGACAATAAGCTCCTACAGTTACATTTTTGTTGTAGGGTTACATATTGTGGTAGATCTAAAAGTTCTCAACTGTTGTAAACAATTAAACAATAAGAAATTGCAACTCTATTTCTTGCTTCTTCTTTCCTTTTTTTTCTTTAAAAAAAACCCTATTTTAATTATATGTTAAGACTGCAAAGTAGAGACAGGAAATGTCAGAATTAAGGTTGCCTTTGCAATGTCATCCAATATCACAATCAGAATATATTATGGTCCAGTCTTTAATTAAATAATCATCTGTGGGTTGTTTTTTTTTTCCTTGCACCACCTTGGATAGATGAATCAAGGAAAGGTCATCATTACTGAGAATGTTGCTTGTAAGTCCTTGATTCCATTTGTTGCAGAAATGGATATATATGAAATGAGCATAAGTAAGCGGAGGATAGCTGGAAAAGAATGGATAATTGTGGTTAAAAAGCTGAAGTGCTGTTCCTGTGTAGTCTGGGATAAGTCCTTCAGAATACATACTTCCAAAATACTCAGTAATTATGTGTTGCTCATTTTATAAATATCCAGCTTGGTATCTCAGCCCATAAATGAAACTGAATTCAACAGGAACAGTGATTTTAAATACACTGAATACATCAGCCAAAAATGCAAAGTATCCTGAAAAAATAGGTCCTAGCTACTCAAAAGTTAAGCAGTTTGTCACCTTAATCTTTCTGTGACTCTATTGCCCAGCTTTCAAATGGGAATACTATAAACTTCACTTCCTTGCAGGAATGATCTGAAGATAAAGTAATTAATGTTTGAAAAGAGCTCAGATACTACAGTGACTAGTATAATAGAATGGCCTGCCAAGAAATTAGAAGTCTGTCTTTGCACCAAACAAAATAACAAAATGACTGGATTATAACAAAGTGACATAATGACTGGATTCTTACTAAATTAATTACGTCAAATGGTGCTTTGAATAAGGCATACATTTTATGGGAAGGAAAGTAGGATTCTGGAATAACAAACCTCATAACATGTACCCACTTCCCAGGCAACATTTAATCTGGCATACTCCAACTTCTGAGTTACTGACTTTGCAGACATAACTTGCTTTAAATCTAAATGTTTTTGTTTGTATACATGTGTTTGTCCTACATAAGAACTTATTGCCTCTTTTGTATTTATTATATGCTCAATACATTAAAAGCTTGTTGACTTTTTATTCTGTTGTTAAAGCCTCCTTGTGGCACACCAGTAACAACTCTTTAGGAGTTAGAAAAAGTGATTAAATAACACACAGAAGATGTCAAATGGTACTGTTAAGATGATTGACTTCGAAATGCAAAATAAAGGCAATTGAGAGTGATTACTGGAGCTAATCATTTTAGGCTTGCCTCTGAAAAATGCACCTTCATTTACAATTGAAAACAAATGCTATTTTTACTGTTTAGTATTCATGTAGGTAGATTTAGCCTGTTGACTAGAGAAGACATTATAACATAAATACTATCTTAAAAATTTGCTCTTTACTAATATCTCTTGGTGTGCAATATATATATATATATACACACACATTTAGATTCACAGGGGAAGTAATATGGCTCTCTTTAGTATTTCTCATATAATTTTACTCAGCAGATTTCTTTTATTAAAATGTAAATAATGGGATATGGTAAATGAAAAATCCAAGAGGGGAATAAACAGATTATTTATCATTAATGCTCAGAGTAGCTTATTGAAACATACCTTTCAGTAACTGCCACTGAATATTAGCTATGAAATTTTCATCATGACTTGAATGTTACCCATTAGGTTTAGCCATTTGTATAGTTAAAAGGCTCAAAATGTTTCGAATATGCCTTTAAAAACATTGTTATCTCAAATCTAACCATAGATATTCACAAAAACTGCATTCAGTGTGTCTGAGATTCAACCCAATATTGCTTCAAATTAATTATTCTTCTTTAATTGTGCTGTATAAACAGAAATGACCTATTAATTTAAAGAAAATCTATCAGTACAGAATGTATTCTCTCTTATAAACAAGCAAGATGAACTTGACCTTGTTTGAACTTGTTTTGATGTGGCCCAGATGGTAGGCTACATGCTTGAATAGCAGTCTAAAGCTGAGGAAAAACTCATATAGCAAGATCTAGATTTATAGCCTTTTGCAAATTCCTACCTTGTATTGTCCTTTCAGCATCTGTTCTGCCCCCGCTGCGGTCAGCTTCTATCTCTGGGGTCAGAGAGTCTAGAAACATAGAAAGGTAAGACTGACACATATTTCATTTGATTCTTATAGCCCTTTTTACAACCTGTTACTCCAATGCTGAATTACAATACAATCAACCTTTGTCAGTTTTTTTAATGTTGAACAATGACTGGAGGCCAGGACAATTTTTTGTTAGACTAGGAAGATTAATGAGTAATAGATTTTTCAAGCATAAAGGGGGGAAGAGAAAGAAGAAGAAAAAAAAAATTGACTTCTCAAGCTAATAATATAAAATTGTCCTAGTTTGGACATTCTGTCTAGTGAGTTTATTTGCACATACTATATAAAGTGAGAAAACAATAAAGAGAGAGGCATCACTTGAATGAAGGAAAGAGATTTTCTTTTTTTTCCCCCTCCTATCATGTTATAAATTTTCAATATAACAAGCTTCTTTTGGCACATAAATTGAAAATTAATGACACAGAGGCAAAAATTGGTTTCTTACCATTTAGGACCCTGAGACTATCTGTTGAAGCTGCCTGTTTCAGTGTCTGTTCTGCTTGCTCCCGTCGTTTAGTCTCAAATTCAAGTGCTTCCTGCAATTTCCTCTTTGCCTTCTTTTCCTTCTTTAGCCTTTTCTGAATTATTGCTAGGAAAAAAGAAAATCAGTGTGCTCAAATTCGGATCTGAAATGTGGCTACATGATTACCTCTTAAGAGTTCCAAGAAACGCTACAACTGCAACAGTTCATATAAATTGATTAATTATACAATACCAATTTAAATTACTTGAAATTTGCTGGAATCACACCGAGATATTCTAAGAGCTACTGTTCTATACCATGGTATTGAAAACTGTGGTTGATATTCAGCTACAGCATATATTTTTTTTAATAAACAGATGAGAATCTGTGAATGTCCAAATCAGAAAATCTTGGAACCGGCAATGAAATGTACTTTTTGCATCATCTGACGTAGATACGCCTTTGTCTCTGGAGGTGCGGTGTTTTTTCGGGATTAAGTCCACCATTTTGTTATTGCCCATAGCACACACTTAGTGTACGCACAGGGATGAAGTTCTCGCCGGCCTGCCCGCCTGCAGCTTCTCCCCCACAAGAGGGAGCTCCGGTTGCTTGGGTGCCCGGGCTGCAGGAGGAGCTCAGCCCCCACCCTGCTGTGGTCCTCGTTCCTTAGGGAAAGGCCCTGAAGTTTCTAACTCCCCTCCAAGCTGCTGCTTCCTGCAAGCCATCCCACCTGTTGGTGCCCGGTCTCTTCCCCATATTTATTTCTTATCCACATTTCCCTCTGTCTTTCTCTTTTCTCTTGCTCTCTGTCGGCTCCTGTCCCATCAGCCAACTAATCTTGAATAACTCATAGCAAATCCTTTACGTGCTGGACCCCCCAGCCAAGTAAGTATTACTTTGCTTTGTCAAATGTGAGGGAAAACATTAGGAAGGGAAGGAGTATTTTAAAATTAAGCATTAGAAGGCCCTAATTTAGAAAAATGTTTTCCTTGTATTTCCTCAGTTCAAATTTTACAAGGAAAAGGATTGCAAGATCAGGAAGAAACTTCATCACAATTTTCTTTTCTATGTTACCAGTGACTTACAACCACAAAAGTAAGACTTGCATGATCCCTAACTGAAGGAACATATCACAGGTTACATTCCTGATGGAAAAGGATAACGTGAACAATTTTTCTACTCGATAAAAGCCAAAGTGAGCCTCTAAAGAAATCATGTAAAGTCGTAGAGCATACCATTATCTCCCCCACCACACCCCAACCCTTCTCACATAGCACTTTTAGGGTTTTCGGGGATATGCATGTAAGCTTTTTTCTCATAAGACCTTCCTGGATAACCTTTTCTTGAAGAGTCTGTTATTTTGACACTAACTAAAAAATTATCTACTAAAGTACTCACTAAAGAGTTCTTTACACACACTAAGAGAATTATCCTTACCAAAACCAGATACCAGGTGATACTAGGTTTGACTGCCAAGATCTATCTAGCCCTGTATCTCACTCCAAAGCAACCTCTGGTACATGCCTAGAGATGAATGCTGGGAAAGGTAAAAATATACTTCCACCAGTTCATACTCCCCATTTCCAGTAGTCTGTGACGGTGGTATCTTTCTCAAAATGCAAACAATGAAACTTTTAAAGGGAACTGTCATTGTTATTACTATTTAATTTATATGTTAAGAATAACCACTTTTTGGGTGATCTTGGATATTTTGTGTTGCTATACAGAACTGTTGAGACACAAAATGAATATAAGCACATTCCCTGTAGTCAGAAGAACTACATAATTTACATCTAAGACACTGGAATTTTGGTTTTCTCATTTTGTATAGTACCAACTACTTTACAGGCTAATTAGCTTATACTATCAAAGAACATCTAGTATCTATACAAAGGCTAAACTAAATACATTTTGAATCATTGCACGGTTTTAATGTTTTCATTATAAGTACTTTGAAAGTGATTGCAATAAATGAGAAGGAAACATATGTTGCTTTCTGAATTAAAATGTCATCATGGCTGACACATTGTAGATGTGACTACAGCAGTCAGAGCCAGAATTAGCAAGCCCTTACTGTGTAGCTGCTCACAGAAGAGATATTATCCTACTTTCACCAGTTGATGAGACACATCCTACAGCCTTAGGAATCACTAATTGGAATATTTACAAAGAAGGAAGGAAACAGTACAGTAAATAAGCGAGCAGCTCTGTAGAACATACAGTAGCAGCAGTGAATTTAACGTTCCAAAAAAAGGCAAAAATATTCAGATGTAGCCACTAAAGAAAAAGATATTTGACTTGTGTTAACATGGCAAGTGAGAGAGACATGTTGCCTAATGCTGAAGATCCCATTCACTTAATGGGTTTTGACCTGTATGTGACACAGTGACTCGTGTTTCTATGCTGTAGCTTTTAAGTGTATTTCAGTTTTTTCATACGGTATCTCTTAACTTAACAGGGATATGGTACACTTCTCCCATCTTGCTCATGCTTCCATTAAGACATGTGAAACTTTCTTTAAGACATGACACTTACTTGGCCCCTCACTACAAGAAGGATGTTGAGGTGCTGGAGCGTGTCCAGAGAAGGGCAATGAGGCTGGTCAGGGGTCTGGAGAACAAGTCTTATGAGGAGCGGCTGAGGGAACTGGGGTTGTTTAGCCTGGAGAAAAGGAGGCTGAGGGGAGACCTCATCGCTCTCTACAACTACCTGAAAGGAGGTTGTAGCGAGGTGGGTGTCGGTCTCTTCTCCCAAGTAACTAGCCATAGGACGAGAGGAAATGGCCTCAAGTTGTGCCAGGGGAGGTTTAGATTGGACGTGAGGAAAAATGTCTTTACTGAAAGAGTGGTTAAACATTGGAACAGGCTTGGTTTAGTGGGTGGTGGTGCTGGGTCGACGGTTGGACTCGATGATCTTAGAGGTCTTTTCCAACCTCAATGATTCTATGATTTTATGATTCTATGACACTTGCTATCTGGAAAACTAATAGTAGGTAAAGCCTCCTATGTATTTTTCTACCTTTAATTGAAGAATAAATTCTCACAATAATTAGAATCTGGCCTTATTTTTTCTCTCCTACTTGGATGTGTTCATTTTAAAGAATAATCCATTACCTTTGTTTCTTTTGTACAGAAGTGTCCACTAGCAGAGATAGTCATCCTCATTATATTTGCTTTGCTGCATACCACCATTAAGTGTTCAAATCCATTCCTCTTTGGTCTGACTTTTTTATCAGTGCAACATCATCATTAGAAGGATACATATAAAAAAGCAGGTAATGCATCATGCTGAAAATAACATTGTCAATTATTTCAGTATCCTGAACAAAATAAGGGACTATCCCATGCTCTTTCCTGACATACAACTTTGAGTGAAATTCATTTTGCTTAATTTTAACTGCTCAAAACATATGTGTCTAGTCCAGCCTAGTCAACTATATTCCCTCTGGAGTTAAAGGGAAGAGAAAGAAGTCTTCACAGTGTAATTGACCCCACCCACCTGTCTGAGAACAGGATGTACGAATCTCTTTCTTTATTGACCAGAAAGGCAACTTAAATTAACTTAAATGAGGTGCTTAATTTTTAGATGGCAAAACTCAAGTAAGGTCAGATGGGTCCCCCCCAACCTTTTCTATTGTGCATGTGATTGCCTAACTCTAAAAAGGAATATATATTTGAGCAGTTGTGAGACACAGAGGTAGAAGGATGTGAAGAATAACTAAGCACTTTTACAACACTACTTTAAAAGTGTAAGTAGTGCAACTGTACTGAGCAAAATAGGCCAGTTGTGGACAAAGGGATGATTCATTGCACAGCTGTGATAATTGTTAATAGTAATTGTCTTTAAAAATGTATTCTCAAAAGCTAAAAAAGGGAAATTAATGATGTGACAGTCCTACCCTTTAATGGGTCAAGGCATGAAAGAGGATTACATTGTGTACTTACCCCTAGCATGTTAGTTAAAGGTATAATGATACTGGTTATGAATCCAAGTGTTCTTGGGATTCCCTATTTAGCCGGTTGCCAGAAAATTAAACTGGACAAAAAGACAGTTATAACTCTAGCCCTGCAAAAATACATATCTGACTCGTCATGGTCTGTGTTAGACAGCAAGTGAGCCCCAGAGGTTAACTGTCCCTTGCAAAGTAATTAGACACTATTAAAGGGCAAGACATACATATACAGAAAAATGGACCCATAAAGAAAGATGGGAACATGCTCGTAATGCAAATAGATAATACAAATCACTGTAAACTGCCTTACCTTTACTATCAGTGAAATTATTTAAAAATCTTTAACTTGTATATGCTTTACAGTGGGCTGATGCTAATATTTGAAATGCTACTAATGCTGCTGCCTTATCAAGAAGAACCTTAACTGTTACTTCTACAAACATGTGTTTGATCTACTATGCACTATAAAGGGCTTATATATTACTATTACCTTTATATTTATTACATATGGTTTGCCTAAATATGCAATATATGACCTTAGCACGTAAGAGCAGAAACAAGAGTTCCTAAAACCTTGCAGATTCTTAAATTTGATACAAAATGTCTTTGTATTAAGTAGCTATCCTTTTTCATAATGATCACAACCTGCCAAAGTCCATAACAGCACCTATGGTATTTATAATTGTGTTGTGTATTACTGATGTAACAAGTAATATTCAAGAAAAACGTTGAGAAAAAGGGAGGTCCTTGTTCTAAGTTTCATGAAGACCCTATGCAGAATCAAGCAGGTTGTAAAACTTCCTGCATTGCAGTCAGCCTGGACATAACATGAGGTAAGGGGGAAAAGTTTTGATCAAACACAGGTGTTTGATAAAAAATTAGGTTTCCTAAGGAAATAAATTACAAGGTATTTATGTCAGCTTAATTAAGATACCTCTGTTCTTCTGCTCCACAGCCAACTGTTTTTCAAGTGTTTCCCTCAGTTCTCGTTCCCTGAAGAGCTCCATCTTCAGCTCTGTCTTTTCCAGTTGGACCTGTTTCTCTTGAGCTCTGGCATTGTCTATAGCAACCTTTAGTAGACCCTGTTCAAAGATAAAGTTGGATAATGTTTGAAGAATGTTAGAACAGCTGACATAATAAATAACTTGGGTAATTTTTCCTTGATTAGTCATGTGAGATTTTACAAATTAAATAATCCTGTTACTGGGTCAAAGCCTCCCAATTATCAACAGCAAATTTTTACTGGAATTAATTTTAACAGGTGGGCAAAAATCTGTAAAAAGCCGGGAGTCAAGTTTTCCCAGAAAACGCAAACTCACCTTTGACTGTGCATATAACTAATGTGAAAAAGTTATAGGGATAGGTTTATTCTTTGTAACAGATAAAAGAGACAAGCCTACATCAGGCGCTTGCCTGTGACCAAAACAAAAAGCTGTCCCATTGAAAAAGAACTGGCAGTCTCACAGTCACATCATCCACAGAATGGCAAATTCAATCTCTAGCACAACTCAAGCCAATGGAAATTACCAAAGGGAGAAAGGCTCTTTTAAAGGCTTGCCATTTTGCTCCTTATTGTTGGTAATCATTACTATTTTCAAATATTTTCATATTTTGTAGAGTTTCCAAGGAAGATAGGGTTACTGGGATGCTAAGCAGAGGACAGTCACAAAGCAGGAAGATATCTCTGTTTTGAAAAGTCCGTTCCCTGACCTTGAACAATTGTTATCTCACAGCAGAGAACAAAACACAATCACCTCTCAATTTGTTGATCTGGGATGGTTGAAATAAACTCTACCTTTTTTTTATTGTTATTGTGTCAGGAAATAATGATTCAGCCTATTCTAAACTTCTCTTGAGAATTTCAACTTCACAATTCCTTCTTTTTTGCAAGGAAACAGGAAGATCACGGCACAGCTAATAACTAGATAGTTAGGACACTGAGATAGGGTATGAAACAGAGGAGGAGAAACAGAATTGAAATAAATGAACATGGAAAGAGGAAGGATTTCCTTTTCCATTTTCCAGAAGCCTGGCCATCAGGCTCTTAGGTCTACACCTGACTCTCCTCTTGAAGCTATCATAATAGAGTAGATAATTAAGCATGGATATGCATATATGAACCTCGATGGATACGAACCTAACTCTTCTGTATCCTAGGCAAGTCTCCTGACAACTTAACTGTAGAGATAACTTGACCCAACAGAGATTTAATTACTGATACAAAGCAAAACAATGCCAACAAGAGAGACTGAAGCGTACTCCCCAATAGCTCTGCTAGGGAAGCATTCAGCTAAGAGATAAAAGGTGTGTGAAGACCTGGTTTCAGAACAACCACACTACAGACATGAAATCATGTCCCCCAACTCCCAACTAAGCTTCATCACCTCTCAGGCTCACTTCCTAAATTGGATTCTGGGTTGCATGTTTTTTCACTAAAATTGTTTGAAATATCTCAAAAAAGGAATGGAAAAAGAAGGCAGCATGATGATACTTGAGAAATGGAAAAAATACTTTTCATGAGTGTTACTCTGCACATTTATCCCACTAGTCTTCCCAATGTCAATGCCTGCTTTGAAATTTCTGTCCTTCAAACTCCTAAGTCTGTTTTCAGAGCTTGTTATTTTCAGTACTCCTCATCCTCATTCTTAACAAAATTGTTGCCTCAAGTGTTGTCTCTTTCAGAGCTTAATGCTTTGCAGCTCTATTACAAGTCCACAGGAGCTGAAAGAACTCAACACCTTCCGACTGCAAGGCCCAGATGGACACCAAAATGATATACACTACATAAGTATAGAACCACATTTGAAAATATTTAACAATGGTAACACAACAAATGTGCTTACATATATGTTTAAATTTTTAGCAGTTTTCCTTAAAAAGAACCAAATGCTATTCTAAAATAGCTAAAACACAAAGGTATTTTGTGTTGAATGTTAAACCTGTATGACTACTAAAGAAAACCACATAAAGCTAAACATAAAGCTCTAGACATATGCAAAGTAAAACAGAATTTGAAATATTTGTAAAGCCTTTCCAATCTATTTTTAAAAAAGTTAATATCCACCTGAATTCTGTTCCCTTCCCCCACCATATTCTCCTACATTTACAACCATCGTAAACTATGTTTTCTATACAGTATGCATTTGAAATGGTAAGAAATTGAAGTAGGAGTTGTTTATCAATACTCGCTTCTGGCTTACGTTTAAACTCTAGAATATTTTAATCTCCTCCAATTCATCACTTACTGGAACATGTGATTCATCCAAATCACTAATAAACCAGATCAAGTGAAATTACCTGAAAAGTATTTGTTGATGAAAAGTGTATTGTCAAGTAAGTTTAAAGCTGCAAACACTCTCCTCCCAAATTCTTACAATCCATCTTGTTTAACAATAAAATCGAGCTGCTAAAGCAACTGCCATCTTTACTCAATTCAACTACATTCATGTACATGTTTCTTCTTCATCAGGAACAAACAATTAGTAACAAATGAAAGAGATCATTACATCAAGTGCCCTTTTAGATCACCCCAATTAAAACTTTAGTTTAGCTGTATTTTAATTCTAAGATACCAAATTCTAATTTTCTGCTCTGATTGCTCTTGTTGACTTATCTTTGAAAGATGTACTCTCAGTGCAAAGCCTAGAGATTATTTAGCAAGATGCCAATGTTGGCACCACTTAATGTGTTGATTGGTTGTATTATCAGTAGCAGTTTAAAATAAATTACTATTAAACTATTATTGTCCTTGGCTGACAAAACACAATATTTTGGTGTTCTTTAAATATGAAACAATCATTATGAATAAACATGGAGAATAATGCTAGAGTGTAACACTGATATGTGTAATTTTATATTAAGAATTGCTGCAAAGTACGAAGCTGCTAAAAGCATATTACATTTTCTATTGAATTTCTACACCACACCTCCTCCCCCAACCTTCCCTTTTTTTATACTTGCTAACATAGCTAATGGTAATACATTACCTATTGCTGCTGATTATGTCTGAAAAATATTAGCTTTTTGGAGCCAAGACTCACTAGGGACTACTTATAAGCTACACAAAATTAAGTTTCATTTTTAGAAGTTAAATCAGTGCACATCAGTAGGCGTCCAATGTGAAAAAAAAATCTGCACTAGAGCCAAACTGATGCATATGCAAAAGTGCTGTTGCTGCCAATGACAGCTCTAATGCAAAAATACTGGAAACGTTCAATATCTCCCTGTATTCAATGCAGAAAGGGGTGAGAAAAACAACTAAAAAGTACAGCATCGAAAAATCATCAGTGCCCCTTGGAACAGGAATAGCAATTTCAGAGTTGCATGAAATTCTATTAATTCTCCCAGTGGATCAGCTGTAAAAGATTATACAAAATACAGTATGTCCAACTTGTATTTGCTATGGCTAATCCTCTAACCCGATATTAAATCAATATGCTGCCAATGACAATGGGAAATGCAGTGCAACACAGGACATTAACAAAAAGAAAATATTTCCCTTTAGGGAAGGTCAGATGTTAGGGAGGCTGGATAATGATAATTGTAGTGAACATGCTCAGGTTCCAGATTTGTTTTTAATACAGCATGGCTCTATCTAGAGCCAGACTTTAAACATGGCGTGCCATTCTTCCCCTCTGTGTCACTGTTAAATTTTTTTTTTTATTTCAATGTAATGTCAAAACTGGAATTTTTTCCCCTGGAGATTTATAGATCATTCTGATTTTTTTTTTTTTTACTTTAATGCACTTGTTTTAGTATTTTCCACTGATAAATTCTTCAGAAATGTCCCAAGTTAAGTTGGCATATGGTTGATGTTTCTTCCAATTCTCCGATGTATCCAAAACCACCATTATGTTAGGGCAGACTACTGACCCTATAGAAATTAAACATATATCAAAACTCGACTCAGCCTTAAAGCCAGTATTACCCATCATTATTTTTAAAAAATACAAATAATGTGTTGCCTATTTTGAAAGGGGTCAAGGGGAAGGTAAAAGCTCTTTCTCTTTCTAGCTATGTCTACAGTGTGTTCCACCTAACATAATTTAGTTAGCTACACATATCATTCTGTTTTTTTTTTTTTTACTTTAATGCACTTGTTTTAGTATTTTCCACTGATAAATTCTTCAGAAATGTCCCAAGTTAAGTTGGCATATGGTTGATGTTTCTTCCAATTCTCCGATGTATCCAAAACCACCATTATGTTAGGGCAGACTACTGACCCTATAGAAATTAAACATATATCAAAACTCGACTCAGCCTTAAAGCCAGTATTACCCATCATTATTTTTAAAAAATACAAATAATGTGTTGCCTATTTTGAAAGGGGTCAAGGGGAAGGTAAAAGCTCTTTCTCTTTCTAGCTATGTCTACAGTGTGTTCCACCTAACATAATTTAGTTAGCTACACAGTTATATGTGACATCAAAATGGCTTACTACTTAGTCCGATGGTCTATCTAGAAGATCACATCCTGTTTCCAACAACCGCCCACAGTGAGTGAAAAAGGAAAACTAGAAGAATGAGGCATGCACACAGTGAAACTTTCCTAGTCAAACCTTCTAGCTTCCAGAGATTTGTAGCTCAGGGGCTTCCACTGGCGGCAAACTTTTTAGCAGGGCCTGTTGCAACAGGGTAAGGGGGAATGGTTTTAAACTAAAGGAGGGTGGATTTAGACTAGATATAAGGAAGAAATTTTTTACACTGAGGGTGGTGAAACACTGGAAGAGGTTGCCCAGAGAGGTGGTAGATGCCCCATCCCTGGAAACCTTCAAGGTCAGACTGGATGGGGCTCTGAGCAACCTGATCTAGTTGAAGATGTCCCTGCCCATGGCAGGGGGGTTGGACTAGATGACCTTTAGAGGTCTCTTCCAACCCAAACTATTCTATGATTCTATGATTCTATGATTCCTTTTGCAATATTAGCTATTCATGGTGAAAAAACTTTCAAATAACATTGCTTCTCTTTTAGTCAGGAAATTGTATATAATTTCTATGCTCTTATCATTAAAACTATCTAGTGAAAGGCTTGCAAAAAAAATCAGTATATACATTTTTAGTTAACTTCACAGGTTAATTTTTGAATATTTGCTATTTGTAACTGACTGCTGACTTAGAAACATAAGCAAGGTAAGATAACACAGCTTGACTATCTCTACAGATGACTCCAGAAAGACATTTTTGTAATATCTCAGATTGAATATCTCCACCACAGGTAAAGGCATATTGCACAAGTATAAATGACATTTTTCCATTAATACTTTCTGTGAAAAATAAAAACATTCTCTTGAATTTTAGCAGAAGACAAATAAAATAACATGAAGTAAAACTGTGATTTTTACTTTATCCAGTGTTTGCAATATTTTTCTCTTGTGTATTTAGTTGTAGATGGTAACAGTGCAGGAGACTCGCAGCAATAAAGCCGGTAGTTTGCTTTGTTTTCATAGGGGAATTTAGTTTGTAATCATGCATTTCTTTTATTAATATCAATGGGATACTTGCAACTTATTTTACATATCTCTTTAAAAATACTTAGCAACAAGACTTGATAGAAAAATATAGCTATCAGGGTGCAACTAATTCATCCCTTAGATATTAATGGAAATTCAGCTCGAGGACAGTAAAGATTCAGACTCTAAAAGCTTAAAAGAAGATTACTATTACCCAAGAATATTGCAGTATCATGAAAGGCTGTGGCTGTAACATACTTTGGCATAATCGGGCCATGACTCAAAAAGGTGAACTGATGTGAGGGGTACGGAAACATCTTTAACCTTCTCACTAGCACCCACACAGCATTTTGCTGTGACCCACCTTCCATCACCCTTCATCCTCCCTGCAGCTGCACATAGACTTCCAGCATTTAATCTGGAAGAAATCAACAAATATTTATTGTGAAGGAACAGACATATCACTTAATTTAAACTTTCTGGGGAAATTTATTTTCTTTTCTTTCTAGATGTGCAGATATACATCTGAATAAGAAAATATGTCCCCGATCTCATTTCTTTATTTTATGTGTGTATTTGTTTAATTATATCTTGTTACAGTTTATTATTTGCATTTCAGCAGTCCCCAGCAAGAAATAAACATTGGTTGTTCTGGGTACTGTATATTGTTATTATCTCCTCTTTAAATGCACAAATAATTAAACATTGTATTTTTGTTTCAATAAATATTTATGGAAAAGTAAGAAAAACATATATATGATACACAAAAAGGAAATAAACCTAACTGGCAGCCCCTGGTGACAATGATAGCAAATAGGCTTGTCTAACATTTGCCTAAAGTTACAAACTAGTGATTAGGGGCTATCCATTTAACTTTAGTATGGATGGAAGACACAGACTCGCTTGTGTTTAGTGGCCAATTTGAAAGGATGACTCAGACTTCTAAAACGGAAGTAAGTAGAGTTAGGCACCAAGTTCAATCACCTAAGCTCTTCAGCACCTGCAAGACTTTTGTTTTCAAATATCAAAAGTGCTTAGAAATTTCTGCTCACATACCCAAAAGCACTGTCCCCATGGCAAGGTTTAGGATCCTCCTTACCCTGACAAAGGTCGAAATTAGAGCTCCTAGTGCCCATACAGTACCCCAATCCTGTTCTATTTTAAACCAGGACAGACTCTACGACTTCTGGAGGCACCCAAGGTTTGTATTACACAGATTGTTCAGATCCTGCACTTCACACAACTGAATATATACAACAGGATCACAGCACAGGTATCTATGATCACGTCCATGCACATTGGTGTAGCCAGAGGCTGCTTGCCTGTGTATCCATGTGACCCTCATATCCCTAAAATATAGCACCCTCCATCACCGCATGTGGCAGGTCATGCATGCACCCCAGTCTCATGACCTAACGAAGATGTACGTTTGCATTTCACAAGCAGACATATACCCTTTCTGTGAAAGGACACAACCGTATTTTCGTCATGCATGTCCCTGGGAAAAAAAGAACAGCGTTTCCCAAAAACACTCATCTAGCCTTTGGCTAGATTTCTGCTATTTTCTGTTCCAAAAGCACCTTAGTACTGGAGGCAGGGAACGGACTACAGGCCAGATGATTTTTTTCTACAAAGTTAGATCTGCTCCATTGCTGGTAACCCCTATCCTTAATGCTAGTGTAGCTGGAACAAAAAGATGGCGAGGGGTCTTACTGCTCCACCTCCCCTTTGAATCCACATCTCTGTACTGAAAGGGATGCAAAATTCATCTGGACCAAAGGAGAGCAAAGAGGAATTTACCCAGTGATGAGTCCTTCTGACCCATGTACTAAATGCATCACGGGTTTCAGGTAGTGCTTATGCATTTCCTAACAAAGTCACAAATGATATTGCAAGCAGGAACCATAGTACAGAATTTCCTCTTTCCATAAATCCCATTAACGAGTTCAAACTTGGAGTCAAATACCTAAAACTCAGTTCTGAAAGTGTCAGTATCACAGTATCGAACTCATTTGTGGGCCTGGGGTAGCCCCCTCCCATTGCAATAATTGCTAAATATGGAAACCATTTTAAATGGCATTGATTAGAGAAACTGCCACTATTGTGCATAGGTTATTGTAATAGACTCTACTGTTTTAAAAAGAATACTTAATTTTTTCTACACAGGTGGGAAAATGAAACTAGCTGTTTATTTTTTTTAATTTTTTTATCATTTTCTAATGTCATCCTGATAGAGATTAAATCTATGGGGGAAAAAAATGACTTGATGTTATATGAAAGGATTCCCAGAGATCTGTGGAAACCGTGTAATGCAACATGGGGACATACTGAAAAAATCCAAAAGGACTTATGTCCCACCTGTTTACCCTGATAGACGATTTGTCGAGATGTGGAATCTCAAGGTAAGGAACAATAAGTACAAAAGCACAATGAGAGAAGGCATAAAGAAGTCTCTGGTTTCTTTACAACGTGGCCTTTTATTTTAGCTCTTCACTCCAGATAAGATTAGGGTTGGGTTTTTTTTAAAAAAAAAAAAGCAATGACTGAATTTCACGTTCACATTTTCTGTAAAACAAAACTGAATGCATTCTTGGCAAATTAATCCTGGTCATTTATCCTGAAGTAGTGCAGCACTCTCATATTCAATCACAAGATTAGCTAACCTGTTGATGCTGAATGCTTTGCTCATTAGGTTGCTGTCTAGAGACATTGAGTGCACGCATTTGTCAAAAAAATTACTAAGAACTTTCCTGTACATGCATGCACAGCTAAAACATCACATATTTTGCTAACCGTATTTCTTCCTTCAGAAAAAAACACATTCTTTACAGATTGCAGCAGATCTGTTAGAAGAATGCTAACTGTTGCAGAATTACCTTGGTTTATGATTTAAATATTTAAGATCCTAAGTCTCAGAACCACAAAAAGCAATCACAAATATGCTCTTTCAGACCAGGCAGATACAGCAATACTTAATTCTTAAATAGCAGTATTTTTCGTTATTAGATCTCAAAACATCACTAATGAATGCATCATAACTTTTCATAAAACAAGTCTGAAGTGCCATAAACTTTAATGAGACTGCTTAAGAAAGTAAAGTGAGCAGGATTTGGCCTTACTCTGTCATAGCCTTTGCTGAATAGAATACAATTGATTTTATGTATTTGCACGAATGAGCAGGGGAAAACATTGTGACAAATACATTAGAAGTTAGTGGCTGCGCAGGCGAGGCTTATCTGGAATGAGTACAATATGGCTGCATTATTTCCTGCACTATCATTTTGCTTCTGCATGCAACATACAACCATATTGTTGCAAAAATTGCATCTGGGGAACACATGATCACTGAATTTGTGGACAAAAAAATTCTTCGTTCTAATATGAAACACTAACATCTTGGCCTCAAGCTACATGCTAGTGTATAACTTAAATAATATTTGAATCAGGCTATACTGTACACACAATAGACATCGTGACTACCGAATAGGAAATCTGCAGAAAATTTGGTAATACCCTTTGAAGTCTATTCTTTGAAGACAGTACTTTAAGTGAAATGAGCTTATTTATAAAAGAAGTGCTTTTTGTGAATGCTTTTATGGGAGACACATTTCAAATAGCTTTAAATATCATTTCCACCTTGGCACTCCAGCAATTTAAAATAACTATTTATTAAAGAAATGTTTCTCTGCTTAGTAAATGAGATAAAATTAAACAGTAAGATACATTTCATTAGCCTGTAATAAAAAGAGCATTTAAGACAAATGTTGTTAAACACACCAATGTAATTTTCATCGAATTCTCTGCTGTGGTTTAATATACAATCTGTATTTTTACGTACTGTATCTGACAGCTTCTAAATTCATTTGTTTGCTGTGGTACCTTTAAAAGCTAAATTACTAGAAAGTTTCAGTAAATTAGTTGATCCAAATAATCTTATGAACTGATTAAGCTAGAATGGTTGTATTAATTTAGACAAATCTGCAACTGGCTCCTCTCCATCCCTTTAGGCTGATCTACAGAAAGGCCTACCTGGATGTTAGTCAGAAGGGTCTCTATGGAGGACAATCCATCAGGGAATAGAAAAGGAGATGGAAAACCCGGAGGTAGTGGTTGCCCATGCCCAGTTAGAGAAAGTTTGTCAAGGCTGTCTCTTGCGGTTGGTGTGGAGAGCGGGGTCTCATCTGTATGTGATTGAAACAAAAATATAGAACAAGTTACGCTTGTCTGTTTTTATTAGACCTCAGTAATGGCTTCCCTAGTGGTTTCCAGAACATTTATTGCAAATTGGTTCCTGCTATCAGGAGAAAATGCTTTCTGCTGAATTTTCTTTAATGAAAAAGCTGTGGAGATACAACAAGATAACATTAATGAGTAACTTTATAAGCCTTTTAAATGCAGTCTCTAATGAGACTGAGTTTACAGTGCCATAGAATCTTTTTAAAACAAATATTATCTCACATATACTTGTGATAATATATTCAGGCTGACTTTATGGGCACCTTCCCAATTATCTCATTTTAGTTTGTGTTCTATTTGGATTGACAATAGAATATTTTCTAGCATGACATATATTTTCTATACGAGAAGTATTTGAATATGAGGCTTCCCATACAATTAACCCTTCCCGCTCTTAGTGGTTTCACTTACAGCTCAGAAGATTCTGCAAGACTGAGAAAAACTATAGCTCCTCAATGCATTTTTAATCACAAAAGTACACCTGATTTCCACTATTGAAACATGCTCTGAAGAATACATGAAATTAACAGCATGGTTACAATCATTGGCCTAATTTTTTTAAGCACGGACATCTTCTAACAATTAGTGTTAAACTCCTTAGTGGGATCTTTGTAACAATCAGATCTGATCAGTTCTGACATCACAACGGAAAAAAAACTCCCAAAGCTTGAAGCCTTCCGCTTGAAGACTTCTAAGATTAAAGTTTCACAGATAATCTGTGAATGGATTATAAAGTAAGTGAAAAAAAAAAGAAAAAAAAAGAAAAAAACCCACAATTAATAGAAACTTAAATATGCTTTTTTTTTTTTTTTTTTACTTTTTGGAGTATTTTTAGACTACTGTTGATATGATACAGAAATATAGGTCAATTTCTTTGCACCAGATGTTAATCTGATTTCTTCAAAAGGAAAACTATCTATCATATATATAGATACATATATCTATACATACCCTTCTTACCACGGGCTCAGTCACTAACTGACACGTATTGATCTATCTCAGTATAGCACAAGGACATCAGAATGTACTCTTAGTATTATGCAGATCTCTGCACAGCTATTTGACTACAGAAGAGTTTGTCAGACTTGCTCTTTTCCATTTGGGCTTTGATCATTACAAGGTACACGTTTGGGTGTATTTTAATTTCTCTTTCTTTCTGCACTTTATTTAACTATAGTTTCAATAAATAGTTATACTTCTCTATTTATCCTATCATGTACATTAGGAATTGTATTATATGAAAGTTCTGATCCTAGTTGCCTAAAAAGAGCTCTCTCTTTGACTGGGGTGCAGGGTTTTCTTAAGTGGACATAGTCTAGGACCAGAAAAATTGAAAGCTGCAGCAACAAAGGGTTAGAGTGTAGGCTTTGACGACCCCAGGACCAGAAAACTGTAACTCCAAGTGCCAGTTCATTCCAAGAGTCCCCATCCACTGCTACTCCAGAAGGAAGCAATCTCCATCAACCATGTTCAGGTGCAGATTTCTTACCCCATCTCCTCATCAGCTCTGTCATGCTGGCCAGTATTTAGTGCTAGAGCAAAAGCCTCACCTGCTATGTTCCTCCACAAAAATACCCAAACAGGCATTTGGACATCTGCTTCTGGGCTGGTCCCACTTAGCTCTTTCTATAGCCAGTGGAAAGAAGCAGACACCAGTTTAAGGCACTAACCCATATGAACTATCACAAGCATCTACTGCAGGAGGAGACAAATCTTCCTCTAGAAGTCAACTCTGCCTGTTGACTGTAAGAGAAGCCTAAGCTGACTAGCTAAGATGGAAAGATCTACTTTTGGTGAGATCAGTCCTACCATGGAAGCTGTTCTTCCTACTTCACTGTGGCTCAGGCTGAGAGTAGCCTACACAAAGAGTAAGACCCTGTTTCATGTCCCCTATTTGTCACAATTTGTGATACAATTACTGCTTTCTCATAAAGTCATCATTCAAAAGCTTACCAGGGTAAGCTTTGTGAAATGAATTGATGTTGACCAAGGAAAGCTTCAGCCCATTCAGAGTCATAAAAGATTTTTTCAGCTATATTTAAGTTTTCCACTCATGTCACAAAGTGCTGAGAAAAACTGGCTGTAGATTACTGAACTATTTCCTATCTACCTTACTGAGATTCAAAGCAGGCTCTGAAAAATGTACTCTGTGGATGTATCCTCTGTTCTCATGCTGCCCCCACAGCAACATGGATATCTCTGTAGTCATTTTGTAGTAACATACTAAATTTGGCCCTAAATCTGAATTGTTTCTTTTCTCCCCAACTTTTAAAATATTATAGAAATATTCGCCACTTCATTAGAAAAAATAAATTAGGTATTAGGTATTATTGCAAACTAGCTTATTGTTCTCAGATCATCCTGCTAGTTCATCTTCTCAAATCCTAGTCTAGTGTGAAAAATCATTGCCAAATGTTTTTTTCCAAACCACTGTCAGAATTGTTACGCTGTCATTAATCAAAAGAAACAACCCAAAACTTAAACAAAACTGGTTAGACAATAGATTGATAATCACTACACAATATTATTGCATAGCTGAAAACTTTTTTTTTCTCTGCTACAAATATGGCTTTCCCAAATGATTCACATCCAATGTTAAAAAAAAAAAAAAAAAATTACATCAACTTGCTTCTCCTACAAAGCAGCAGGTTTTAAATGCAAATATGTCTACCTGTTGACTTCAATAATCTCACTGTTTTGCTTCAGGTTCCAGTGAAAGTATTGGACTTGCATGGTATAGCAAGAAAGAGTCTGATCACTAGTATGCATGGTGGAGCTGATTCGTACAAATGAGAAAGTAAACTAAAAAAGGGACATCATTTGCCTCTAGGTTTGTCAGAGAAATGGACCAATGACCTCTCATACTTTCTAAGACAACTTAGAATCTTAGTAGTATTTTAGGTCTCAAATTGTCAAAATATTTTAAGTCATACTAGATAAAATTGACCCCCTTAAAAATTCCATAGGTCTTAATCCACTTAAAAACTATGCTCTTCCATGCAATTGTTGAGATACAGAAAGCTCCTAACACAGGTCTTGTCATAGAATGTAAGCAAGGCATTAAATCTTTTACTGTATTACTACTTTAAAATTAAATATATGTTGTTTGCTGTACTTTGTGCGTGCTCAAAACATGTTGTGAAGTTTGCAAAGATTTTCCTAACAATGTGTAGCATGGTTTTGCAATAGGCAAAGTAAGTCAAAAAAGGTTAAAGTTATGCAGAATGGTATGAACTCAAAATAACATCCAAACTCTTATGTTATAATAAATAACAGAAACAAATTTACACTGAAGGGTAAGACTAGAGAGCTGAACTTACTGTGAACTTATTTTAATGAAACGTCAACTCAGAAAAAAAAGTCAGACTAATGTGATTTTGTTTTCTTGATGTCCCATGTGAAATAAACTTTGAGTGTGAGTATGTTTGAAACAGAGCAAATGTACATATTATACACAGGAAGCATGGATGTTTGTGGATGTGAGATAAGCGATGATTGAGGGAATCTTGAAAAAATGCATTTTTAAGAAAAACCACATTGTAAACACAGCCAATTAAAACATAACCACATATCTTAGAAGGAAAATAATATGACCTCTTGTAATTAAGGCATTTTAAAATCTTCCATTCCTGCAGAAGTCCTCTTTTCTCAATATGATGATATATCTTTGTTTCCAAATAATCATTAGCCTAACATCTTTTAAACTGTTGCAAAGGAACTACTAATGTTCCTCTTAGCCTGCTAGCAGAGGAACACTGCAAAAATGATGAGCCCTTGCTGGGAGACAGAGATCTGGCATTTTCAGTCTGAACGCATCAAAGGAAGCATTCGAAGACAAGCCAGGGCAAGAGGGGAAAGAGGGTCAATCTACAACTCCATTGTCGGAGTTGGCAGCACAACAGCGTAAAGAAAAGGGAAAAAAAAGACAGAACAAGGCAGAACAAAGAAGTGTCCGGGCCTGCCTTGGTTTGTGCTGGGAACTGAGATGTTATAAATTAACAACTAAACAAGGATAGGACAAGCTGCTACCCAAGCCTCTACAGTATCTGAGCAGAGATGAATATGTGCCTTGACATACAAACTAAATCACCAGAATAGGCAAGTCTCAATGAGACACACATCTTCAAAATATTTGTAAATGCTACATCCACTCCATCCATTGTTCCTCATTTTCTAAAATTCACCTGGTTTTGTTCAAACCAGATTTTATCTGTGAACAGCAGCTGGTTTGGGCCAAATACAACGAACATTTTTCACTGTATTTGGTTTGTTGCCATTCTATTTTATTCTTTCACTAGATAACATGGAAACAGACATCCTGGAAGCTGTGACAGCTATTTAAACAATAATAGATGAATAGAGGTAGCCATTCTCTTGTCTTTGTTCCTAAAAGCAAGTAGGATAAGTTCAGACCAGTCACCAATCAAACTGCAGAATATTGATATTGCCAGGATTTGAAAGCAAGAGATAATAGCTGGCTCCAAAAAATACTATACAGATTACTGCCTTTCTGTAATCATTTAATGGTTTTTTGTAATGCATCTTGATGCTTTTTTGTTCTCTGTAAAATATTTCACATGTATTTGTTCCTAAAACAGGCTCATTCTTACCATTTGAATGATGAAAGAGGATCCTGTTTTCACTTTTTACTATCATAAATCTGGTGCATGCATTTCTGTGGAAACAATCTATTCCATTTGGCTTACTATTATTTTGGTTTATGTTGTCAAACACCCTTTAGTACAAAGTTTTGTATTTCACCTTCCTCAGAGTTAGAGGTTTTAGGTGTGAGAAGCTCTTCTATTTTAATTCATCTGTAATTGTTGATTTATATTAATACAAAAGAACAGGGGGTCCCATGTGCCGAACTGAAATGTTTACCAACTTTGTGCAGATTTAAAAAAAATAAAATAAAATCCTCTTGCTCAATTCCCATATCATTTGG